AATACCCCCCCCCAAAAAAAAAACAACAACAACCCAACAAACAACAGCAACAACAAGCAAACAAACAAACACAAAACAAAAACAAAAACAAAAAACCCCAAAAATTACAAAAGTATAATAAAAAACATTCTCAAAGAAGTTTCTCCTCCGTTTCAGCCATTTCTTGTCCTTGCCCCAGTCTAGCCAACGATCTTCCGGTCGTTTAAACCTTTTCAACTCGTGTCTTAACTCAAACCTGCCGGGCCATAAAAAGAAATGAAGTTGGTATCCCTTTAATAGGTGTCTGTCCATCGCTTTGAAAATACAAATTTGCATATATAGAGGGGAAATCTTATCCGAGACAGCCATCTTTTTTCACACCTGGCTTAATGAGCCATCAAGTTTAGTAACAAAGCTTATTTCCTAACTTATAGTTTGAATAAGTTGCTGTATTTTACAAACACACGCACATCTTAAACAACATCATTCTATTTTTATTATGTCGTCTCAGCGGCTTGTCACTGACTGCGACAATAAAACTGTGTGTCCTTAGACCTTTTCCTTTGTTTTAAACCACGGACGCAACCCTTCACGACAGAACGGGACATTTGGATACTGCACTTTGGACCAAACTGAAGCAATTAGTGCTCTGTGATTCGCTGATATCTGGATGCTAACTAACGTGTGGTGGTCTTTGAAAGTGCACCGCGACTGTTCGTGATTGCTCTTTTATTATTCGCTCGTTGTGGATTATTGGATATTTCGCGTACAGACTGCAGGGCGAATCTGGAGTAACATTTCTAACGCTGGATTTGGTTTGATCCCATGAAAACTTTTCTTTGAATGTGTGAATGTGTCTTCTGATAAGGTTCATGTTCCAGGATTATTTTCAGTTCCGAACCGACACACATCCATATCTTTCATAATGGATGTAGTTGGACAACATTGAGAGATTGGCTGTCTAACTGAGAAAGGTTTGGTTATTTCATGCATTTTTGTCTGAACATAATTCTCTCTATTTCTCATTAAATCTCCCTATCGCTTCAAAAATGGAAGACGAACTCCGTTGCCCCGTGTGCTGTCGGTTCTTCACCAAACCCGTTCTGATGCCGTGCTCACACTCTCTGTGCGTGGCCTGCGCGCTCAGCTCCCAGGAACCGGCTCAGAATCTGCTTCCTCAATCCATGTCGTCGGCTTGCTCTGAGTCGGACAGCGGGACGGTCATCAGTGACCACACGTCCCTGCTGGACTTCCCCGACATCGACAAGCTGAGCATCGTGAGCGAGACGGACAGCGGAGTTGTATGCAACAGCCGCCCCAGCAGCTACGTGGGTACTCCGAGTGTGGCCAACATCTTCCTGCAGAGCCTGCAGAGCTGTAGCTACGGGATCAAGTGTAGTGTCTGCGAGAGGCTTGTCTTTCTGGACGAGAATGGCGCCCTCTCTTTGCCCACCAATCGCGTGCTGGAAGCCATTGTCAACAAATACCAGAACCAGAGTAAGAAGGTGAGTTACAAAAACCTACAATAAATACCGATTACTTTTTATTTTCTGATGGAAAAAAAAGTTAACAAAAAAGATGAAAACGAAATTACCAATATTGTACTCTTTAGTATCATATTATATTATGAGCTTCCGCCAGAACGCGCAGACGATAGTTGAGGGAGAAACGCACACAAACACACAGACACACACATACACACACACACACACATACACACACACACACAATC